ATATATATATATATATATAAAATTATCAAACAGGTTTAATTAGATGATTGAATTTGAGAAGTTGTTAGGTAATAATAGTACATATGTTAGTGCACATGACATGTACATGGGTAGGACTAAACATTTTGAGTAAAATAAGAAGATGATGGTAACGTATGTTTTCGTATAGGTAACATTAATTCATATAAATCACAGGAGGTAACATTAATAATAATAATAATAATATTATTATTATTATTATTATTATTATTATTATTATTATTATTGTGATTTACAAATGATAAATTACTCACTTAACAACTTAATTACCTTATATATATTGTGGTTTTTTTTTTTTTAAATAGAAAAGATTACGATGGTCGCAATGAAGATTGAACCTAGGTCTTCATATTTCTAATTACTCCAATTTCTCCTTATCCAACTAGCTTAACCCTAATGATTATTGTTTTTTGATATTGCTCTCACGTTTCCTTTTCCTTTTGGGTAACGGAATATCAAGAATGATGTTACGATTGATTTTTTTTTTTTTTTTAGATGTTACAATTGATCTTTATGCAATGTATAATATGTACTGTTACATGTGATCCATATTATATTCCTTGCTGTTCATTTAATCGGGTGAAAATTTTATATGGCAAATCCCTTTTGATTGATGTGTGTAAGGCGCGCAGATAGTTGTTTCATTAATTTAATGGGAAAAAATGATGGATCATATGAATTTTCATTTGGCTGTATAAATTTTAAATTAATTATCTACTTATAATTAAATTTAATATACAATTCACTTCATAAACTCTCTTTATTTTAAACTCCAGCAGGTTCATCATTTTTTTTTAAGTTAGTCGAATTTGCACAGAATAAAATGTTTAAAATTGTTTTGAATAATGATATATTTTGTCTATTCATAAATAATATGATAAATTATTATATAAATTAAATTGATTTACATATTATTTTTATATAAAGTACTATTTTATTTAATTTCATAAAAATATCAATATTTAAAAAAAAATTAAGTTACATATATATGTTTTGTGTCTTGTGCTCTTATTATATAATCAACAGAATGAGATGGTTATACAATATGACTAGAAAAGAGGCAAGCTGTGGTTGATAGAGAACATCAAAAGATAATCGCGAAAGGAGAAGCTGTAAATGGTCCAGTGAGGATTTTGGAAGAAATTAATGCAGCAAAAATGTGGATCTGATTTCAACAAAATAAAGCCTGACAAAAAAAGGAGCAAAAAAGAGTAGATGTAAAATTAAAATTTTCTAATTATTATTTTACATTTTTATTATTCATATTCCATATAGTTAAAATGTTGTGTTTTGAATTTTACAATTTTTTAATGAGATTAATAATAACTTACATTTCTTAATGTATTATTTTATTTATATTATTAATACTAAAAATATATATTTATTTATAATTGGTTCAGTCACAATATAATCAGGCTAGGTCAATAAATCTTAAATTATAAATATTTTTGGTAATGAATTTGTAAAAAATTATGTTGATATTATTTTTGTGATCAATAATTTTTTTTCCAACCTTTGCCAATAAGTAAATTAATTTATAGCTTTAAAATTGTAAATAGCTTGTTGGGCACTATAGTTTGGATATGGGCAAGTATCCGAAGGCCCAACCCAACAAAAGGAGTAAAATTGTAACAAAGTGGAATTTTCATAAACTTTCTCCTGTACCATCTGCTCTGTTGAATGTAATATAGGCATATAGCTCTATATTTAAGTGTAGTGGTTGCTACTAGCTTACAAATTTATCAACAATATATATATATATATATATATTTTTTTTTTTTTTTTTTTAATTATGAATTACTCTGATTGATGATTAATGTCAATTAAAAAATCTAACTGATCATTAAAATCCCTATCAACTGCATATGATTACAGTCAATGATTTGAGATCTTCTCTCTTAAGTACATACAATGACATCCAATAATCCTTGTAGAGAATTAAAAAGTAGTATATGCAAATTGACTATATATCTTTTACAACTCAACTAATTAAGAAAAACAGCTCAGATATACCTACGTGGTCCACAACAACTGAAATAGAGCTTTAAAAGCATCATATTCCTGACATACTGAACAGATATGAAAAAAATTGAAACCCTAACAGCAAAAGACCTCTTCAATCCTGGCATACAACTGATTATAACCTTTCAATGTGTGTAATGTAATATTTTTTTTCTTCCAAATATATATGCACAATGTCATAACTTTCCTGATAATCAAGAAACTCAATTTTCTTAAGTATATATATTTTTTGTTTAATATCATCATGATTAAGGTCTTTGGTCCCAAGGTATTTTCGTAAGTTTTGATTCTTTGGATAAACTATGAGATTAATTTTTGATCGAAATTTAGTTGTACATAAAGTTTTTCAACCTCCCTCCCCCAAAGTATTTTTTCTAAAAATATTTTATGATACATGATCTCACGAAATCTCTTTAATTTATTTTTGGCATTATTGTATTTATTTTTTCTTAAAGTTTTCCAAATCTAACCGGTATATACATTATACTTGCTATGACAATCTTAGAACATCTAGATATTTGTTTTAAGAGAACATTAAAACATTAATGTAGAGATATAATTGTGAGTTATGGAAATTCCATACTATTCCACTTTCTATGTATGTCATGACTATAAATACATATTTACCTTAAGTGGTTCAATATGATTAGTATATATACATAAGGTCAGAAGAAGAATAGCTATCATCCTATCTTAGTTGAGAGTGAGCCATGGGAAAGAATGTAAGCAAAATTGACTTCCAAATTCTTTTTTGTACTTTTTCTTTTCTTTTCTTTCTGAGTGGAACTTATAATTTGCAATTTATTCTTCGAGTATGATCTATGTCAGTCATATATATTTCTCTCCATGATCCATCTGTATACGTTTTCAAGTCTCAGATTAATCAAGAAACATTTATAGTTTTATTTATAAAAATACATATTTTACATTTTCAATTTTGATTCCTTGCTCTGAAAAGGAGGAAAACCAAGAAAATAAGGAGGAATCGACTGTTATTTTGAAAGCATTCATACATTGTGAAGGTTGCTCAAACCAAATTTCCAACTGCCTCAGAGGTTTAGATGGTAATGTTTGGTTCACTCTTTATGCATGCGTGTGTCTTGTAAAGAAGATTAGTCACGTCTTACAATTAATAAATGAGATGTTTATACAATGTGTAGGAGTGAAGCAAGTTCACATTGATAGAGAACATCAAAGAGTCTCTGTGAGGGGAGTTGTGAATGATCCAGTCAAGGTTTTGGAAAGACTTCAAAAAAAATACAGCAAAAACGTGGAGCTGATTTCACCAAAACCAAAGCCTGACAACAAACAGAAAAAACCCCCAGAAAAAAAGGAACAGGTGTCAATTTTAGATTATCTAAAATTATATATTATTAACATTATTGGTTGTTATTTTTCTCACTGTTCCCTTACATACATGTTTTATCTTATCTTTGTATTTTATTATTGCAAGCAGGCTAAAGTGAAAACTATGGTGCTCAAGATGTATTTTCATTGCGATGGCTGCGAGACTGTTGTCAAGAGAAAAATTCAGAGAATGGAAGGTAACAAATAACTTTTTTTTTTTTTTTAATTGACTTTTCTGAAAATTAAACTGAAACAAATCTAGATAATCAATAGTTATTTAAGATCCAAGATAGCATATAGTTGATTCATTATGTTTAGTATCTAATTTGTTAACATGTGACAGGTATTGAGTCTGTGGATGTGGACAGAGAAAAATCACAAGTGGTTGTGAAAGGAACGGTGGAAGCAAAAAAACTTGTTGAAGATGTGAAGAGGAAACTGGGAAAGCATGTGGAGATTATGAAGGAAGATAATAAAAAAGAACCCAAAAAAGAGGGGAAAGATGATGAAAAAGGCAAAGAACCTGTTATTATGTATAGTTATCCTCCTCAATACTCTACCAATTATCTTTATCCCAATCAAACCTTCAGTGATGAAAACGTTTTTGCGTGTTCAATAATGTAAAAGTTCGTGAGGAAACAACATTTTTTTTTTTTTTATAACTTTTTCTTTGTAATTAATTAGTATAAGTTATAAATCATATTATTGAATGATTTCAAAGTAATATTTAAGTTAAATTTGGGAGATGAAAGTATTTTGGTCTCAGTGTAGATTAGCTAGAAATAGAACTAGGCTCAAGTTATTTTAAATTGACCCTTATATCAATTTCCACATTGTGCATGTATTGAATTATTAATTACTAATTTTGCAAAGCACTACGTAAATATGTAATGCCTACCATAAAGATTATATAAATTTTAATTATGAGTTTCCTTTACACATTTTTTTGTTACCAATGAGGGACTCCTATCTAATAGGTATTTAACCGTTTTAAGTGACACAGTAATGATAAATCTCATGAAAATAACACTCACGAAACAATAAAATAATATATCATGTACACCAATGAAGTAGTGTCTGGTCATTATATCATAAAACTTCATGCTACATCACTCGTAAAATCGTAGAGTAATTTCACACTTTAAGGAAAAATAAGAAAATGGCATGAGGGGGAATTGAACATTTTCCAGCCATTTTTTTTTTTATTACATTTTCTTAAACGTGAAAAAAAATTGTTGGTACAATAATAAACGTGAGAATACATGCTCACGTATATTGCAATGCTTTTTTTTTTTTCTTTTCTATATTACATAAAATCAATTTTTCGTTTCCATTTCATCCAAAACAACACGAATTATAAAAGTTTATTCCACATTCTTTATTTTCCTTCCTTAAAATGGTACCCGAGCAGCGAAAGAAACAATTAATTTTTTCATTTCAGTCTCTTTCCTTTCAAAATAAAACCTATTTCGCTCGTTTTAAATCTACTGTTAACTTTAAATATCTTAATTTCTTTTACATTAGAATAATTTTGAATTATACCATAATATCCTTCTAAATATTAAATAACAGTTCCTTATCCTTTTATGTTCAAAAGACATCTACCGTTTTATCCTAGTGATTTATAATAATCCATTAAAAAACACTGAAGCTGAGTTAGAGATCTCAACCTTGGATAGATTGCATGAAGTAACAAGTTTAAAATTCATTGTCTCTGTTTTATATTAAAAAAAAACACATGTAAAACTATCACTACTCAATCAGTTAACGTTGCACATTAACAAACGACGATATACATGGCGCTTTTAGCTTAGATGATTGGGGCACTAACTTGGTATACAATGCAGAGATTAAATCAATCCTTGGATTTTAGAGATCAAAATAAGTAACAATAACTTGGACAAAATGAAAAATGATGCATAGTGATGTCACGAAATATTTATTTGTGTTTTGATCCACGCTATTCTAGTTGAGAAATTAGAGATAAATAATAATATAAATATTCTTATGTTACAATTCATGTGACAAAACGTGCATAGCGTCAAAGAACTATGGTAAACTTCAAAGAACAAAGAGGCAGATCATTATTTACAAAACGATGTATCTGATGGAGAAAAAATAACTTAAAGACCATTGTGTCAGGAAGTTGCGGGTTCTGCCCCATCGTGTTGGGCGACGCCAATTGTAGCTTTATGATGCCCTCGGTAAACTTGAATATCTTCACCAGTTGACATAGACCAGAGCCTAGCAGTTGCATCAGAGGAAGCTGCCATGACAACAATATGTAGCTTAAATAGATGGAACCACATAACTTTTAAGATCAGATTTGTTTTATTGACTACCAAGCACAACACTTACAGAACATCCAAATACACAATTGATAAGGCAAGGAATATCTTCCAGGTGATGAGGGAAAAATAGGAAAACCATGAGGTGGGGAATTGTTTTTTGTTATTATTGGAATCAAACTTTATACCAGAATATACAACTCACACACACCTGAATTAGACAGGAGAAATGTTATTTATTTTCAATTTTCAATTACAGATCATTATTCACTAAACAGCTACTACGATAAAAAAAAATAATTAAAACCAGTAACAATTTGGGCAGGTCGCGCTACCAATGTTTCATCAATAACAATTTCTACTGCATGCTTTCTTTTCGTGTTTTTATTTTCCCTCTTCTAAATAAAAATTTGTTCTGTATGAGTATACTGAATGCACTAATTTTAATTTAAGTTTTAAAAAAATCACAAATCAGAATAACTTAAATGATACAATTTGGTTGTATAACACACAATGCTCAGCGAACTGTTACACTCATTTTGACTTAAATTAAACCTTTACATTAAAATCAAATATAAACAGATTTTTCCAAACAATTTAACTTAGTTATCCCAACATTGCAGTAGAATGTCTGATATTTTTTTTAATCTGGAACATTAAATTGGTTTTTGATTTTTTTTTATTTAACCCAAAGGATACTTGGATTTTCATTAAAGATACATAAGTAATTAGGCATAGGAACCATTGGGATTAACCTAGTGGTTGGGGGGAAGGATACTTGAGAAATTAGGTTTGATCCTCATTGCTATCTTTGTAATCTTTCCTATGGATAAAAAAAATAATTAGGTCTACCAATTGGTTAGAAAATAAAATGTTAGACCAGTTAGCCATCTAAACCTCCAAAAATTTGTGGTTTGTTTAATCAGCCACTTCTGTGACCTTTTAGTTGCACGCAAAGGAATATTCTGTGTTAGTTAAAGGCTCCAGTCAGCACTACATGCATAAAAGGAAGTAGTATCTCTCTTAATATATGAAGTGATAGAGAGAGATAAAAACAAAAGTAATGTATAATTTTTGGTATACATGTAGCATTACTCAAAACTTCATTACACAACTATTCAGTCAGGATTCAGGAATTATCAAATCATTAAATAAGTTTGGCTATCAAATCACTACCTGCTAGAAAGTCAAAATATTGTGATGATGTGTAAAAAATATCATGGAATGGGGTGTAATTTTATCTTTATATAACACTGCTTCAAAGTTAAGACTCTTGTTTATATATCTGGTAGCTGAATAATATTAATAACTAAGACGATAAATATTGAAAAATTGCCAAGTTAGTACCTGTAATAAGGTAGGCACCATCTACAGAGAAGACACAGTCCCAAACCCAGCGTTGATGACCTGAGATGTACATCCAACCTCACTTAGGGAAAACGAAGTTTTAGGAAAAATGGAGGGAAGTGAGAAAGCACTCAATTATAACAAGACTTCATGAATTACCTATAAGAGTTTTTTCTAGTGTAAAACCATCAACATTCCATATTTTGACAGTATGATCAGAAGATGCAGTTGCCAAGTACCTAAAAGAATAACACCAACAAATATTAACATCTTACAGAAGCTGAGGTATATCAATCCTTATTGACAGTGAAATAATCAAGACTGGGTCTGGAATGCTAATTAGGTCCCTTATCTAGTCAACGTGACATAGATATATTTAAATGCTTATACCTAGAGATAGTCATCCAGTCAAACAGTTTTAAAAAAAAAAATAGAGAACTAGCTAGGCATGCTATTAAATGTTTTATGATTCCAATCTAAACTGCGGTTACAACATGCACATTGTCAGCTCAAACATGTATAGGGATTTAAACATTATAAAATCATATTGAACAAGAAAGTGCAGTGAAGCCAAACTTCATGGCAATGCCTAAGGTGACATTTTTTAAAAAAATTCCATTAGGTGAACCACTGACCTGTTCACATGACCACAACCTTTGTCATTTGAGTTTAATAGGATGGCAAGGAATAAAATATAAAGGCAAAACATGAGCATAATCCTTATAACCTGTGTGGTTCACAGAACTCGGGTGATAAAAGACATTTGAGGATGTATCCCTTGTGTGCTTGCAGCTTATGAAGAGGCTCAAAGTTTGTCATTGTCTGCACAAAGACATACTCCACCATGACAAATAAGTAAAATTTGATGAGGGTAACATCATTCTGAAATTTTTTTGTAAGGGAACAACCTGAGTCCCTCGCAACAAGCGCCACACATAACATGTCCCATGATTATTTGCTGCAACTACCAAGCTCCCATCCCACATTACTGTTAAAGAGCGTACAGCTGTATCCACTTCTGGCACCTACATTTCGTCCACATATTGAAAATAATGTTTCATCCATAATTTTTTAATCAAAAAGGTGAGAGAAAAAAGAGAGCACGGAATGAGACAAACTGATTCTTGGTAGTTAGGACCATCAACCTAAACATAAGGAGATTGGGGAATGACATTTCTCCAAAAGGAAAAGTATAAAAAACCTATACACCATATAATCAGTGCAGAAAGAACCACTGGGTGAAGCATGGCAATTGAGTGTATATTAGAGTACATGTGGGAGGTCTAAGAGAAAGTATCATGTGTTTTTGCAAGGTGTATTCCTAGAGAGTTAGAAGTACAAGGCTTACAATTTAGACAGCTCATTCTTTGTAAATAAGCTAAATATTATTTTGAATATTTTTCTTGGATAGAAAATGCTTTGAATCTTGATTCTACATTGATATCCATATACAATAAAAGTGGTCATAACTAATACCAATTCACAACTGCATGAATTCGCTGTCAAATCCCACACACGAATGTTGCCATTTTGGTCACCAGATATTAGTTCAGTCTGTTGAATCACCAGAAAATAAAATAAAATCAATGAGAACCAGAAAGCATAAATTTATAAGAAGTACAATCTGATGTATATGGATATAGAAAAAACTAAGGAACCACAGTCAATGAAGAAAGAGCATCAATGACCCATTCTTCAACTGAAATGCAATGAAACAGAAACATGCTCTTATTATTGAAAATATGTCAGCATCAAAATCTAATCATCAATCAATAAACCAATAGTTATACTTATATGAAACCATGAAAGTGCCAAGTAGTTAAGTAAAATAAAATAAGAAAAGCTAGAACCAGTATAATGTAGTAGGACTGATTCAGCCCAAGCTATTACTCTGATTTATGCATTAATTATTTTCATTACTTGTAACCTCTTTGGTCTTCTTATACCATGCTAATGACTAATGTTAATCATAAGCCAAAGATAGATTGTATAGCC